TCCCAGACTATCAGGACAGGTAGTTTTAACTCTACCCCTAACTTTAACTCAATAGCCATAGATTTTGTATGCAGCGTGCACAGAATCACACCAGAGCACAAGGGCTCTCAAAAGAAAAGTAGTTTATCTACAGTAAGAGACTGACTGGTCTCAAATGTCAATGCAAAAAATTTTTCCAACAAACTTCACCTTGTCCACTAGCGAATGACTTGTATGACATCCTGCAGAGACGAGCCGCCTCCTCCATGGAACTGAAGCTGCAGCAGGCAGCCCTTAGGCTGCGCCGGAGTCCTCGAGGCTCCCTGTTAGTGGAGGTGGCCTGTGGCTTCAGGACAGCCCTTGAGGTCCCTTTCCTCTGAGGACTTGGCAGCCTACAAGAGCACCCTGTCGTGGAGCTGAGCCAGCCCACTCCTGAGCAGGCACTCTGCCCAGGAGGGCCTGTCAGGCTCCTCGTGACTCCCGACAACACCGCCATCATTAAACATTGCTTTCTCTTTCTTCCTCTTCAAATCTTTGGATATTTTTCAGAGCAAAATTTTTCTGTCCATGGACTTGGGGAAGGGAAGGGTTCTATCCTCTGCTGAAGGCTGTTTTTCCTCCTGCAGATGCGCAGCTCTGTACCCGCCAGCACCCAGGGTCCTCAGTCCTCAGCACCCAGGGTCCTCAGCCCTCAGCACCCAGGGTCCTCAGCCCTCAGCACCCAGAGTTCCCAGTCCTCAGCACCCAGGGTCCTCAGTCCTCAACACCCAGGGTTCCCGGCCCTCAGCACCCAGGGTCCTCAGTCCTCAGCACCCAGGGTCCTCAGTCCTCCTAGCACCCAGGGTCCCCAGTCGTTATCACCCAGGGTCCTCAGCCCTCAACCCCTGGGATCTTCAGCTCTCAGTGGGGTGTTTGGAAGCAGTAGGTCACACTTCCTTTTGGAAGTGTGGCAGTACAGCCTCCAACAATGCTCTCCAGGGTGATGCATGGCTTGTAGTGGCCTTGGGTGTGTGATGGATGTTGTAGGGGCGTGTGCAGGTGCTGTTTGTGTGCATGAGGGAGCGGGGTGCTGATGGGATGGTAGGTTTGTTCTATTAGCATTTTATAGAAGCAGACCAGAAGTTGACTTGCTTTTTCTTTTTCTTTCTGATCCCAACTTCCCTGTTTGAGCAGGCCCTCACTTCACAGCTTTTATGGGGAAAGAGTGTTGCTTACAAAGCTGTCTGGAAGTTGCAGGTGGCTGATCTCCATGAGAAGGGCATGGGATCTGTTTGAGTGTGTGGTAAAAGTGTCTAAAGATGGGTTCCAAACCCATATGGCCGTGAGTGTGTTCGACAGGTGTGGAATCATGTGTTGATGCTGCTCTGAGGCACTGGGTGATGTCTGTGTGACTTGAGAGCTTTGTGGAGGCTGTGGCATGTCAGCGAGCATGAGGAGACACTACACGGCAGCCTGGCTTGGCCAGTGAACCCGCGAGCTCCCGGCGCCCTGCGTCATGCTCAGGCCTCTGGTTGCTGGCCTCTCTGGCCCTTTGCCATGCATTTCCTGTGCATGGGAGCCGTTTCTAGACAGCACAGCAGGGCTGCAGTTACTGTGTCCATGTTGCTTCCGGTCAGGGCTTCCCAGCTCCAAGTGAAAGGACCTGAAGATGCCCCCGCTCTTTCTCTCTCTTCTCTCTCCCTCTCCCTCTCCCTCTCTCTGTGTCTCAGATGGCGATTTTGCTGACAGCCTCCAAGAAAATGCTTCACTCAACAGTCCACATGTGCCCAGATGTTTGTAGAGCTATTTGAGTCGCAGCCTTGTCTCAGGCTGAAGATCTGTCCCCTTAAGTCCATTCAGAAGTGGCACTGTTCAGCCCCTCAGAGCTGAGTGCATCTTTAAGAGCTCACAGCACATGACTGCACACTCCCAGGCCTTCAGCTTGCCCGAGTCACAGGGCGCTGGCTGCCTTGTGAGGGTGACTAGGTGTGATGTGAGTGTGTGGCTTGCAGAGTCTCTTCTCACAGTGCCCGGCACGTGTCCTAAAATGCTGCTGTCTCGCTCTCCCACCCCCAGGACCTACTCTCCGGGTTCTCCTTCTGTTACTAGTGTCTTAATTCACTCTCCTCCTGAATCCATTATTTGCATATCAAGTTCTGTAAATGTTTTGTAAACATATTACCTCACTCTTGGTAATACAATACTGATAGTCTTTAAAAGATTTTTTATTGTTACAATAATAAATGTGAACTGTTTAAGAAGAGTGTCCTTTTCTTCTTGAGAAGTCTTTGAAGAGTGTAAAGATTGAGGAGAGACGAGGGCTGCTGATGCCCACAGGCGGGGGAGGCCTGGCTTCGGAGTGGATGGCCTGCAGTCACTCTGTGCCTCGATGGCCTGCTGTGCCCTTTGCAGTTCAGCGAATCGACATGACTGGCACAGCCTGGCTTCCAGTGTCTTCACATTCCTTACTGTAAAATGGGTTTCTCTAAGCAGGCATGGACCTGGGGAGGGCTGAGTAACCTCATCCTGGCTCTCCCGTTTCAGAGGTCTGCAGAGACAGCAGAGCCCGGGACAGCCGGGAACGGACAGGTTATGGGGGAGGCCATCACAGGTGTGTCAGGGTGCAAAACTGGGACCTCCCCAAAGGGAGGGAGAGTTCTGTCCCCAGATGGGGATCTGATCATTCATGGGGTAGAAGGCAGGAGGTTCCCAAGTGGTGTTCATAGCCTGTTTGTGAATCCTGCTGGGGAATGCCTTCCCGGACAGTCAAGCTGGGTTCCCTGACGTCCCAGCCCGAGGTTGGTCAAGGCAAACCTGTCTTTCCTAGCCTTGGCTCCAGGCTCACATTCTTGTGGAAATGAGAGAGAGCCCAAGGATAAAGAGAACTTAGAGGCATCTAACCCAGGTCTCACCTGTTCAGATAGGACCACCCTGAAGTGGGGGCATGCCCTAAACTAGGCCAGAGTGCTAGCCTGTGCTCATCCTGAATGACACCATGTTTATAGCTCAGGGTAACCTGAAACTCACTCTGCAGCCTGGGCTGGCTTAACTCCCAAGTGCTAGCGTTACAGGTGTGTACCGACATACCCAGCCCCGTGTTTTCTTTGATGCCAGATCCCTGGAGAACTCTGACCAAGCCTAAACCTTGGGGTGCCTGCAGTTCTCAAGGGCCAGGGGAGGCATTCTTAGTAATGTTGTCATGGAATCAATCAACTGGGCTCAGTTCTGTTTGGAAAGTAAGGGCTTTGGCAAGATGGTTTGGTGAGTGCAGTTCTCACTGCCAAGCCTGAGTTCCACTGTGGGACCCATATGGTGTAAGGAGCGAATGGACTCCCTCGGGCTGTCCCCGATCTCCATGCCTGTGCAGTGTCACACCATGTGCCCACACACAGGCACATACAAGTACATGTCAGTTTAAAAATTGAGAACTGGGGCTGGAGAGATGGCTCAGAGGTTAAGAGCATTGACTGCTCTTCCAGAGGTCCTGAGTTCAATTCCCAGCAACCACATGGTGGCTCACAACCATCTGTAATGAGATCTGGTGCCCTCTTCTGACCTGCAGTCATACATGCTGTATACATAATAAATAAAAAAAAAAAAAAATAAAAATTGAGAACTGAGGACTTAGAGAGCTAGGCATTCTGGGAAGACAGCAATGGTGTCCCACAATAAATACAGCCAAGGTAAAACCTACAGCTGGTGGAGAGCTGAATCCTATGCTCCAAAATGCTCAAATGACAGTATTGTGTGTATTTTTCCATAGTAATAGCTTCTGTGATCATCACTCTGCCACAAAACTAGGCAGTAAGGTATCCCAGAATGCCCCAGTGCGTCCCACAACAGCCTTTTAGAAAGCGGGGAGGGGATGTGCAAACATTGTGTTCAGTAACGCTCTGTGTGTCCTGTGGTTTCCCGATTGGCTAATAAGGCAACTGCAGGAAAACCTCTAATGTTTTGATTTGGGATAGGGTCTGGTTCTAACCTGGGCTGGCCTGGAGCTCTCTATGTGGACCAGGATGGCTTTCAACTCACAGCAGTCCTGTCTCAGCCTCTCAAGTCGCTCAGATTATAAAGTGTGTGCCTCCATCCTCAGCTAATTATGGGATATCTTAAGTCAGGTCCCCTCTGCCCTTTGCCCAGCATTCAATGTGGAGGCACAGTAAGGAGAAGCTGGCCAAGGGCTCTCCAGGCACAAACATGAATTAGACAGTTAATAGGGAGTCATGAGCTGTGGGGCAGGGAGTTCTCCTAAGTCAGATAGACTTACCAATATTTTAACAAATGGTCCAGATTGGATTGTTTCATCTAGAGACACACACACAAAAACACCATTTTAAAACAGGAGGAACGGGGCTGGAGAGATGGCTCAGAGGTTAAGAGCACTGACTGCTCTTCCGGAGGTCCTGAGTTCAATTCCCAGCAACCACATAGTGGCTCACAACCATCTGTAATGAGATCTGGTGCCCTCTTCTGGCCTGCAGTCATACATGCTGTATGCATAATAAATAAATAAATCTTTAAAAAAAAAAAAAAAAACCAGGAGGAAGGAATTGGGCATGTGATCCAGTGGACAGAGCTTGCCTAGTGTGAAGAAACTCTGGGTTTTGTCCCGTGACACATAGTCACATATGACTGAGGCAGGGAGGGTCCCAAGCTCAGGGTCATCTCATCTGTGCCTCTAGTTTGAGGCCAGCCTGGGCCATGTGAGACCCTGTCTTAAAAACAACCAAAAACCATGAAGTGGCCAGCCACTAATGGTGACCAGGACAAGTGCCTCTTTCCAGCCACTGCTGTGATTGGCATGTGGTTCCAGCACACACAGTGTCTTGTCTGTTCAACTGTGCAGAGCCTGTTTCCTTTATTATAACAAGGGTGTTGTTTCTCCCCCCCCCCCCCCCCCAGACAGGGTTTCTCTGTGTAGCTTTGCGCCTTTCCTGGAACTCACTCTATAGACCAGGCTGGCCTCCAACTCACAGAGATCCGCCTGGCTCTGCCTCCCGAGTGCTGGGATTAAAGGCATGCGCCACCACTGCCCGGCAAGGGTGGTGTTTCTTATGCCTGTTCGGTATGAGCTTTAGAAAGGTCAGTGTGTCTTGAAGGAAGAACACAGGTTTTCTCTTCTCCCAGTTACGTGATACAGGTGGTGTAGTGATGTGTCCCCCAATACACTGTCTCCCAATAAAATTTACCTGAGGATCAGAGGAAAAAGCCAATCACTACACAGAAGTCAGGCAACAGTAGCACATGCCTTTAATCCTATCACTTGGGAGGCAGGGATCTGTCTGGATCTCTGTGAGTTCGAGGCCACACTGGGAACAGAACCAGGCATGGTGGCACACGCCTTAAATTCCAATACTGGTTCACCATGGAGGTCTGGAGGTCAGTACAGAGACAGACAGGAAGTGACAGAGCTGGGCAGGAAGAGGAAGTGATGTAGCTAGACAGAGAGAGCAAATCAGATGGCAGAACAGCAAGGCATGTAGGCGTGGGTAGACAGGAAGTAGCTCGCTTTAGAAGCTGCGGAGTTGGTGAGGTGAGGTTAGCTGTGGCTTTGCCTATTTCCCTGATCTCTCAGGATTTCACCCCTATATCTGGCTCCATGTTTTTTATTTAACGTAAGATGAATTTAGAAATTTGTCTACAAGGTGGTGTGGACAGGAGCTGTTCTGAAGCAACTCACAGCAGCCCCAGCACATGCTGTGGCCATGCCAAGGACAGCAACGCAGGGCAGGAGCTGGGGTGGAGGCAGCAAGCCGTCCCTCACTTTCGTTGTTCCTGAGGGCATCCTGCTGACCCAGTTAAAGCTGGGCCTCACTACCACGTGCTGCCCATGGCTGTCCTTTCTTCACAGAGGAGCTGAGCTGTTGCTCACCCTAGCCTTACCTTTGGGCTTAACCAGAAACAGACAACCAAGAGCTCTCTCAGAGTCTGTGCGAGCCCTTAGGAGTTAGCCTCCTGGGAAGTCTTTAGGTGACGGAGATCTGCTCCAGAAGATGGTGGGTCCCCACGACTCTTGCTTCCTGGCCATCAGGTGAGTGGTTTTGCATCTTGCCATAACGGGAAGGGGGCCGATCAGCTCAGGCCCAAGCCCTCAAAACCTGAGCCAAAATGAAAGTTATCTCTTTCTAACTTTGTCGTCAGGGATTTGTCAGTGACCCAAAGCCCATTGACACCGGGGGACTCTGCAAAGGTGTTGGGAGAATTAACCCTTTCTGCGTGAAGCAGATGTCCTCCCATGCCATCAGGCCAAGAACTACCTAGGATAAAAAGGCTGACATGACCCCCTCCTCCCTGCCACCCCTGGGATTCTCCTGACCCCTCCCAACCAGAGTGCAGTCCTGACTTAGGACTGGAGTGCCAGCTCTTAGTCTCCAGGCCGTCAGGCACAAGGAAGGTTCTATGTTGTGGTCTCTCTTCAGGAGAGGACATGAGATGGCCATCGAGAGTGGAACTGAAACAGCCCCAGGCAGCTCTTCAGCTCCAGAGCCCCTGGGAATGAGAGGGCAGACCATTTGTTGGGGTGAGCACCAGGGCCAGAGCAGGGGGAGCTGACAGAGGAAGATGGTGGCCAGGGAAAGCTGTACCCCAGCTTCTGGCTCTGCCTCTCGTCTCCCCCAGTCTGGCCTCCTGTGGATTGCTGGCATCAGCCCTGTGGAGTGTGCGACCCACCAAGTTGGGGTGTCTGCTCTGTTCGTGGTTCTGCCCCTCTCTAGAGCCGGAGACAGCCTGCCCTGGGGAGGTGGCCCTGACTTCCAATGGAGTCAAGTGGAGTGATTTCTTGCAGGCCCTAGCCTTGTGAGTGGGTGGTGATCTGGCCTTGGGCCCAGCTACCTCTGCCTTCCGGGGCCCCTCCTTCTGTCAACATCTGTCAGCAAATGTGCTTCACTGGTATCTGTAGAAGGCCCTGTCACCCAGGCTGGACTCACGACACACTGGACATTCAACAAACTCACTTTTTCTTCTGACCTTAAAAGAAGTGAAAGTATTTTCATGAACTCCTAAGAGAGTCCTAGGCCCCATGGAGAGGGCACACTGATCCCAAAGGCTGGGAAAGGAAGGCCCAGCACCCTGGGGGCTCCCTGAAGGGAAGGTGGGGGCACCTGTCAGTCAGCGTCAAGATCGGTGCTAGGTGCAGTGACAATGGCTGACAGATGTGACAGGGCAGGAAGAGTTCACTCCAGCTCAGTCTGAGGTTCAGCCCATGATGGTGGGGAGTCACCGTAACGGGTGTGAGGTGGTTGGTCACACATGATGGTGGGGAGTCACTGTAACGGGTATGAGGCGGCTGGTCACACACGATGGTGGGGAGTCACAATAACGGGGGTGAGGCGGCTACAGTCCGGAAGCACTTGATGAAGGCTGGCACTCAGCTCACTTTCTCCTTTGATGCAGTTCAGGGCCTCAGTCCGTGGGACGATGCCATGTAGGCTCAGGGTGGGTTGTCTCACCTCGGTTAGCCTAGTCCAGAAAGTTCCTTTGAAGACACACCTGGAGATGTGACCCCTAGGTGATTCTGGATTCTGTCAGGTTGGCAATATTCACCACCATGGGGACCAAGCTTGAACTGTCCCTGCCTGCCTGCCATCCATCCATACCCTCAGCTCTGGGCAAGGACAGGGTGGAAAGAGACACTTCCAGAAAAGAGGCATCCCCTCTCCCCGTCCCAGGGGGTGTTGTCCACATGTAGCCACCTGGGTGGGTACAGAGTTTGGCACCAATGGAGCAGTGTGGCTAGCCAGCAACTTCTCTCTTGGGCCTGGGCATCCTTGCACTTCTGGCCATAGGCTTATTACTCCCTAGAGCAGTGGTTCTCAATCTGTGGGTCGTGACCACTTTGTGGGGTGTCAAACGAGCCTTTCACGGGGGTCGCCTAAGACCATCAGAAAACACAGATGTTTACATTAAAATTCATAACATTAGCAAAATTAGTTATGAAGTAGCAACAAAAATAATTTCATGCTGGGGGTCAGCACAACATGAGGAACTGAATTAAAGGTTCGCAGCATTAGGAAAGTTGAGGACCACTGTCCTAGAGGGAAACACAGACCCCAGCCTAGTGCGAGCATCAGAGGAGCCCAGGACTGACTGCTTCTAGAAGGTTTTAGGGACTTACAAGGGATCAGGCTTCACACTTCAAATGGCTGGGTGGAGCTGGGAGCTGGGGATATTGGGCGGTGGGCCTGTCCTGGTGGTCCACAGTCTCGTCAATGGAGTTGGGGCTGACGAGGCCTCCCTATGAAGTGTCGAGTGAAGACCTGAGGCACTCCCTTCCTAGCCCATGTTCATCGGGTTCCTCTGTACCTCCCTTTAACGTTCCAATTCTGTGTACATGAGACGCTAACACATCAGGGCTTCCAGTCAGGACGCAGGGACCAGATGGGCGGGGAGGCTGGTCAGGGAAGCCAAGGTTGCCAGGGAGAGGGGTGGGGTCAGTGCTCATGGCTGGTCTCTCACAGCCTTCCCTGCCAGCCTGGCCCAAGGTTGCCAAGGATAGACTGAAGGGCCTCCCAGGGCCACTGCTTCCCACTGAAGGATGCATGAAGGACTACCACAGCATCGTCTGTATAAGATGCACACTGGCTCCTCAGCCGCTCCGTTCATCCCTTGTCTCAAGGGTGTGGCGCTATCTCCGAAGGAGCAATGGATAGGTTCATTTCCGCTGACTGAAGGACTGGAGTCCCAGAGGACCTTCACCAATCTCTGCTTTCTCGGGGCTTCACAGTATTTGTAAAAGGATTTGAGCTGGATCAGTGCTGGCTCCAGGTCTGACAGCCCAGTATGCTCACACCTTCCCTGCAGGGCCAGTGCTCTGTGCCTAGGGAGTCCCCTGGAAGCTCCTCCACCATGACACTGTAAGCCAGTGGCCAGTGTCTCTTCATGTCCCCTCCGTGCCTTGCACAGACTTACATGCAACCCAAAGATACTTGTGAGATCAGCCTGTCAAAGTGTTACTTGTAAAGCCACTGTTGTCCAGCCTGCTGTCCCTGGGCCCTGTCAGGACATGGCCTATTAGACAATCTAACCTACCAACTCATTGGAGTCCTGCTCCAGGCCTGCCCTGAACTCATTGCCCCAACTCCAGCCTTATTGGGGAAACAGGCTCTGAGGGACTGTGCCCACTGTCTCAGCTAATAAAAGAGAAAGCAAGAGCTGGCCATGCAGCGCCCTGGGACTGCTGGCCATGGCGTTCTACCCGCCCAGGCCAGAGGGATAAGATTCCCCTGAAGGCCAGCATAGATCCTGGCAGGGGTCAGGTCTGCTTGGGAGGCGGGAGCCCAGACCTGTCCCAGCTAACATGGCTGTTAGGCAAATGAAGGGCTGATTTCCTATTCCTTCAAATTCTAAACACAACCCCCCTCCACCCTCCACCCCTTCTCTTCTTTCTGCTCATCAACTGTATGACAGTGAATGCAGTTCAGTTCTCACCCTGGAAGGAGAGGTGGAGGGGGCCGAGTCGTCCCACAGTGCTGCCTGTGGAGGAGGAAGCAGAGCCAGGAAAGACAGGGAGTGCCTCGTGGGGAGGGTTTGACAGCAGCCTCACCCCTGCATCCCCCTCAGCCAGTCCCCAAGCTTTGCCTCAGACTAGCCTTTCTTTGCCTTTCTCTCTTCCCTAGGACACAGGGCGCAACCCTCTGCCTGGGATCCAGAACAGGAGCCCACAGTGGCAGCGTAGGCCAGCTGGGAGTGACGGTGTCTGTCTGTCCCTGTCTGGGGCCACAGAGACACCACGTGTGGACTAGGTCTGCACAAAGAAAAGCAGGTTTCTGTGTGGTCTGGCCCTGCTGAATGCAGAGGTGGGGCAGCTGGCTTCAGGTTGGAGGAGAAGCCTCGTCTATAGTGACAGGGACCCCAACTAAGAGCCCAGGCTGGCCTTGAACTTGTGATCCTGTGACCCATGGTAATGGAACACCTTTTGTCTTTGTCCTAAAGTTGCTGGGTACCCTGTGGGTCTCATGTCAGCGTTTCGTCAGCAAGAGACACTGTACCATCTCCGGGAAGCAGTGATTTATTTCCTCTTTTAAACACTTCAGCATGCCTCCCGAGAACTGGGTAGTTCGAAATTCTAGAGAAAAACGGGAGGGAGGGGCATGCTCTGAGAGCGGCTTTTAGGAGCCCCAGCGAGACTTGCTGCACTTCCTCTGGAGTTGGAGCACATACATGTCCTGCGTGGTGTTCCGCCCTACGGACTTGAAAGAGGCTAGCGAGCTTTTCTTTTTTCTTATTTTAAATCAAGAGCCTGCAGAGATGGCGTGGTGGTTAAAAGCGTTTGCTGCTCTTTGAAAGGACCGTAGTTTGGCTCCTACATTTCCAACATTCTGCTCACAGCTGCCTAGTGCTCTAGGGGATCAAGCACCCTCTCTGGCCTCTGCGAGCACCAGGCGTGCGTGCAGTGTACAGACATACGTGCAAGACATGCACACACATAAAAGTGTTAAGTGAAAGAAAAGCCTGAGTGACTTATAGTGCCGGCAGCCACAGCACCTGACAGCTACTGCACCCAACTGTCCCCAAGTCTCATAGCTGGCCAGCTTTACCAAGGAAACAGAACTGAGGGAAGGAGAGGAGGTAGGCTCAGGATGTGGTCACCTGGACACTTGGGGGAGTCCCTGTTGCCCCCTCATTGGTACACTGAGTTCCCCGTGTCCACCGTCTGAGCTCCAGGTTGGCCAGCACCTCCTTCCTTCCTCTCTGATGTTCCTCGAGGAGGACTGAGTTCCGCACTGGAATGTCGTTGCACCCCCCCATCCCCTACCCCCCCCCCCGGCAGGAACACCACTTGGTTCCCCACTTGGTGGGTGGGGTTGTTTCCTTTCTGATTTTCCCAGCTTGGAGCTGCTGGCACTCTGGGCACCATCACCTGGGGTACGGGGCTGCCCTGGGCCCTGTGGGCTGCTTAGCAGTAGCCCTGTCCTTCTAAGTAGACAAAATTGCTCCCCAATTGAGACTCACTTATTTAATCCAACACCCTTGTCGCTGGGAGCAAGTACAGCCTCATGAGGTTAAGACATTTGCCCGGAGGAACACAGTCCA